TAATGACTTCAAATAACAAATACTTTCCTAATGGGAAAAAAACTGTTCATGTGTTCTTACAGAGTTCACATTTACAGAATACCAGATCTAAACTTCCAAGTTAAGAATTAGTTCAGCAAAGTTATCAGCTTAATGTTAGGATAAATAAAAAAACATAGAATAAAAATAGCAAAAATGAATGTGCAATCTTTTCAATTGTTGTCAGATGTCTGAGCTACTAAACACCTCTAGCAAATTCTCTCAGAACTATGAATGCTGATCTGTGAGAACTGAGGCGAGCACATCCTGCGGCTGCATGTCTATATTAAGTGGAAACAATGTGCCTAAGCTGGTCTCACACTCCATGAGAAGTCACCAAGATCTCTTTGCACTCCGCAGGGTTTCCTGCTCCAGAAGCTTTATTTTAAACAGAAAAAAAACACCCTACCCCTTCCAAGTATCAGTAGCATGAGTTGAAACATTTACAGTAGAGCATTAATTTGAAATCCATGCAGTCTGCTGACCTCTGTGAATAAGATAGACCAGTTCAGCCAGTGCTACCTGTTTTGCCTTAACAACGTAAGAGTTTCAGTCAAAACTAAGCTCAAAAAATATCCCCCAAGGAGTTTCCCTCATCATAGAAACAGCTACAAGTGCTGAAAATGTAGCTGTATAATAACAATTTTATAGTTATCTCAGAATGAATGCACCAGCCACCTAATAAGTATTTTCTGGCCACTTGGCTATTACAAAGAATAGTAGGACAATAATTTGATTTAATGAAAGCTTTTTTAACAGCTCCCTTATTTATAATAGATGTAGCTTATGCTGTTGTGCAACTTCAGTATGTACCACAGAAGCCACATCAATTCTGAAGTATTAAATCACAGGAGTTGCAGGGACCGAAAAATATTCTTCCAGCAGATGGAATGCTGTATAATGTGCTTGGTATACTGTTAATATTTCTGCTCTCCTGTAAATCACAGTGTTGTCAGGGAACACAAGCCTAGGGAAATCGTGTATAATATTTTGTATGCTGCTGTAGCAGCATAAAATGAAATTATGATATTAAATACACTAGAATCAATACATTTTTATTTTACCATTTACTTCAGATCCATTATGCCACATAAGAATGTTGCAACATAGTTTCTACATTCAAACAGTAATTAACTAGAAATAAGAATACAATAAACACCTGTAACAAATATATCTACATGAAAACTGTAATTTTTCCTAAAGATTATTTTGTATTAAAATTCAGTATGAACTTCCCAAATCTACCCTGGCTCTATACCAACTTGCAATATTAACTGCTATAGCAGCAACTGTTTCACATTTAAACATCTAACACCAAAATCAGCTACAAAAATAGATGCTAAGTTTTAAGAATTAATGCTTCCCAATTTTTTAAAAAGATGTAAGGAAAAGAGTAAATTACTGTTTATTATTTCATGTAATCATCATTTCCTTATTTATATAGCAGTAAGTAGTGTTTAATCAAAAAAATCAAGGACAAAAACATTTGAAAGCCCTATAGACACACATTGAACTAAACTATACTTAATAGAGACGCACAATTCTGCAGAAACAAAAATAATTGCAAACAGCAAACTTAACTGGATGCAGTTACTGACCCAATGAAACAAGATTCAAACTGTAATGGCATATCACACTTGATATTAGCAGTTTTCCTACAGTCTCCATTTTGTATTCTTAACACATTACTTCTGAAACTATTCCAGAAGCCTTGTGACTTCTTTAGCCAAACAATGCCTTTTCCTTTTGGCACAAATTTTGGCTCGATGTATTTTTCTGCAGCAGCAACATCAACATGCCACATTCTAATTACCTTGTTACTCAGCATCATCGATTAGCACAGCATTGTAAACTCAGACTTGTATACACTCTAAGAGTGTTATTTTGGATTGAACATTGTACAGTGCTTACATAATTTTTTTCCTTAATATCACAGACCCAAAAGATTTCACAAGGCTGTCCATTTTATTACAGAAAAACAACATAATGAGTTTTTACCGTACATTTTGCTCCAATGACCCCTGCATGCCCTATGACTCCAACATGGCCTAATGCCCCAATTCTGTAAAGGAACATGCTCTGTGCATTCCCCATACATACTCTGTGGGAGTTTTAAACAAAGCTTTCTAATCCAGAGGCTACTGTAATCAATTTGTCCATAGAGTCCCAAAACTGAAGTATGCCTCATTAAAGAGGCACTGAACTAGTTCAGCTTGCTGACTTTATCCCCTCTCAGACTGTTTTCCCTTACCATACATGAAGAAACCATAAGAATGAACAACTGGGGAAAAAAAGTAAAAACACTATCAACCAAATGAGTAACACCAACCAGACTGCCTGACACCTGGAGTTTCCATGCCCAAGAAAAACCAACCAGACTGCATTTGATTGCCATGGTAATCACTGGTCCAGAAAGGAGCAGCTACGCATGACTAAATGGGGTAAGGGCTAGAATAAACAAGATAAATCAGTCACTTCTGATATGGACAGCATGCACTGGTGCCCACAACAAGGCAGTGCATTCCAGCCTAAAGTGCAGTGGCAGCCAAGGCTCAGTGGTGCACTCTCTGCAACACAACTGTCCCACTGCTTCCTTTGGTGCACAAGCAGAAGCAGCTCTAGCAGAGGGTTCCCTAGAACATCTTCTGAGCCAGAATCTCAGATGCTTTGATCTTTCTCCAGATCTCGAGAGCACAAAGTCTTCCATAATGAAGCTCCTGCATCCTTCAGAAAGCAGTTCCCTTTTCCTGACTA